TATGCCGTCTTCGATCTAACCTGAGGAACTGACAAGAGTTCTGATCGAAAACTGTCCTGATCACGTACAGAAATACAGGATTTAGATTGAGCAAAGGGGCCGCGTCCGAAGTGGTGAGTGTAGCAGTCATCGCTGCGCGGTCCTGTGTGAGCCAGTCACCGGGAGATAATTGACCAGATGGGACTACGGTAGGCATGCTCGTGCATGCTCACTTGTTAGCAGCCACAAAAGGTTGAGCTTTGGCGGAGTTTGCGGCAGCCGTGATTGGTTGTAAAAGAGGCGGGCCGAGAACCGCAATCAGGTGACCTCACGCGGAACGAGAATAATTGAATAAAGTGAATGAAGTACGTATCGGTGGCAGGGTTATGAACAGCGTGGGTGGCTGCGACTGGCATGAGTAAGTGGGGTTGATGGGGCGGCTGGGGATAGCCGGTGGTTAAGTTGTACGTGCATGAGAAATCGGTATGCTGTGTCAGTATTTTTTGAGTCGAGTGAGAAGAGTTGTGCTTGGCAGTAGAAGTACGATCGTACATTGGGAAGGAGGTCTGGGTGCTAATACTCACGGTGGAAATGCTCTGCTGGATCGTCCGCCATGTATACGGTTGACTGGCGCGCGAGCATTAGCTCAGGGGAAAGTTTGACATGCCCAGGAGTTGAACGGAAGTACAGCTGCTATCAATACTCAATTGAAACTATGCAAAAAATGCACAAGGGCCGTCGATAACTCGGATACCCAGTCAGTCCGCTAATTTCAGTATCAGGTACGAGTCTTAAACCCTCGTTGACTAGAACCTTGTGGCTTGTTTTCGAATTTGGGCTGCCACCTTAATTTGCTATTGTATGCTACTTTCTCTACTTCCGTGTTTTATTTGTGTGAACTATGGTCAGGAGGTCATCTCCACATTCGCACCTTTTTTATGAACTTGAATCACCTTTTTTACCGATGACAGTTCGTGACGTCAGCTGCTCCATTTCACGTACTTTTTGTCACATTAACGTTTAATGAACGTGTACTTTATCGCGTTCTATCCCAAAAAAGCCTATACGGTGGAAGAAATACCGCTGTGGTTTGCAGAACCCCCTCAAATTACAACCTACAAATAAAATATACAATTCACAGTTTCTGTCGACAAACAGTCTTTCAGTCTTCAATACAATTGCCGAACTGGAGTTGCTTCTAATAAAAAAGAGCACAGTAATAGTGAACTTACCTGGCTTGAAGAGAATTGGTTGAAAATCGATTGTTAAATCACCAACTATTACACTGCTATGTTTTACTTGCTTTTGTACTGACCTAAAATTCATATTTAACAGTAAATTTGGTGAGCGGCTGTTTCTGTAAATCAGCAATGGTGTACAAACTGTGAGTCCTTATTTTCATACTGGGATGACGTAAAATACGCTATTTTAGTCGTCTGTAAGCCCCGACTGTTAAAAATGATAAAGGAATTATTTACGTTTGCATCTATAGTCCCCCTTGCAATTTCAAGGAGCTTTAGTCTGATTTGTGGATTGTTTCCCCTTTAATTTGCTGTACTGTCTTGCGAACATCTTATTATTTTATGTATTATTTTTAACCGTGGGGACTTACATGCCCTTAAACTGTAAGGATTTGACGACTTCGTTTAACACTCGTGCTGATGCCCCTCGTGATAATAATTTAGCCAACTACACCAAGCTTTTTGCTGTCAAAAATAGGGCTCCGTTGTTATGCTCAGACCATTCTGTGTAGGTGGGCCTGCCAACTATTTATTCCAGCTCTAAGCAAGTGCTTTCAGCAAAACCTGATAGAAAAATTAAGGTATGCAACACGTCTCCACACAATATTTGCTTGCATCTGACTTGCACATCTGAAAATATCCGCGCTTTCCTTGAACAGTCGAAAGTCGAGTCTTGTTCTAGTTACCTTACAACTTTTTTAAAAGATCTCTTTAGGATCACCTGTTCTCCTGATAATTTTGTTGGTAGATCCGACAGAGTTTCTTCTCCCAAACTAAGGTCTCTAAGATGCCAGAAGGAACACCTCTACAAAATAGGTCAACGTAAAAGACTAAAGGACCTCAGCTTACTTATAATATGCGAGACTTTCAGACTGAACGACCTTTTGTTTAGTCAGCTTTCTTACTTCTTCGTCTTCGTTTTCCCCTCTACTCGGCTGAAAGTTGGAAGCGTTTTAAGCTCTTTTGTAGAGGCCAACGAAATACACTAACCCATGTCGATGCCGGCTTGTGTTGTTTTAATGCAAATTGCATGTATATTGACATTGACTCATATCCTCTGTCAAACGATGTTTCCTTATTACCAAACATCTTTTGACCTGTTTCCGCCGGAAAAGCGATGAAACACTTTCAAAAGGTTCGAGGTGCAACAGCAGATGGACCAGATGGTGTTTCTAAAATCTGGCTGTTTTTGGTTAGGCCCTGTTTTGACACATCAACTTGTCCTTCATGGAGTCGAATATGCCGGATGATTGCTGTTCAGTAAAACTCATTACCATCCACAAAGCCCTCTACTTTTAGTCCCGCATCATTAAACGAATTGCCTCTTCCACATTACTAAACCTTGCTGAACGAGTTGCCTTCAACATAATCACGCCCTTATCTCCCAATTTTTCCGGTCCCCAGCAATTTGTATAGGAGGCCAATCTAGTACCCTAGGCGCCGTTGCTCTTGTAGTCCATTCTACTCTAAAAGATTTAGCTATGGGTTGCCGTGCGCACGCACGTTCATTTCTGGACTACTTTTCAGTCTTTAATACTATCGTACGCCATCGCCTGCCTACTGAAATGTCTGCATGCGGCTCTTTGGCTATGCTGTCTCGTGGTTTG